AAAGCTAAATGGTAATTAGATGAAATTAGGTGCAGGTGAAAGCAATTAACACAGCTTAATTTAATAGCTATGAATAAGGTATTTTCTGGACTGAAAGGAGTTAGAGTGGGTCGGTGCTATGGAACATTTTACTCTTCGTTTTCAATAAAAAAGAATTAATTTACTTGTCACCTTGTTGTTGACATTCATTTACAAGTTTCTATTGGGAAGCAGATGTAGAGACTGCTAGTTTGGCACGGTGAAGCACCATACCACAGCATGGGAAAGAGTAAATTGGGTTGCAGCACCTCACCTGTGTGGAGAGTGTATGAACATACTGGAAGAGATGTATTTGTTTCAAAAAACATATGTGATGCACATAGAGAAATGGCAAGGCATGCGAATGGCCTGAATAAAGTTACATAAAACCCTTATGTAAACAGCAGATTCCAATCCTGTTATATGCAGCATAGGCTTCTCATACAAAGCTTGCTATATGAACCAGAAAGCTCACATTTACAGCTTCCACATTCCTAACAGGCTATACTACCTTAAAAATATAAAAAGGTAGAAAAGCATTGCTAAGAGCCCAGTAACCTAAAGCAATAATCACAAAGTACTTGGGGCCTCTCTTAGGAAGTGAAGCTCTGAAAGAAGATGTGGACCCCAATTCAGCCTGCGCAGGAGAATTCATTGGTTCCTGACGGCTCCCCACCTTGCTCTATAGAGGGGGGATTCATTAAAAGGCTTGCTGTCTGGGCTCTGCACACAGCCTAGGACCCACAACAGTATAGTGGGGAAAATAATTATTTGATCCCCTGCAGATTTTGTAAGTTTGCCACTTACAAAGAAATGAAGGGTCTATAATTTTTTATCATAGGTGTATTTTAAATGATAGGAGACAGAATATCAACCAAAAATCCAGAAAAAAAAAAAAACACGATACAAATGTTATAAATTGAGTTGCAGTTCAGTGAGTAAAATAAATATTTGATACCCAAGCAAAACATGACTTAGTACTTGGTGGAGAAACCCTTGTTGGCAAGTAAGATGTTTCTTGCAGTTGGTTACCAGGTTTGCACACATCTCAGGAGGAATTGTGGTCCACTCTTCTTTACAGATCTTCTTTAAATCCTTAAGGTTTCTTGGCTACTCGAAGTTTCAGCTCCCTTCATACATTTTCTATAGGATTAAGGTCTGGAGACTGGCTAGGCCACTCCACGCCCTTAATGTGCTTCTTGAGTCACTCCTTTGTTGCCTTGGTGGTATGTTTTGGGTCACTGTCATGCTGGAAGGAAAATTGATGGTTATTTTGTATTTCTTCTATTTGTGAATAATCACTCCAAACAGTTGTCTCCTTCACATCAAGCTTCTTACTGATGGTCTTGTAGCCCAATCCAGCCTTGTGAAGGTCTACAATCTTGTCCCTGAAGTCCTTTGAGAGCTCTTTGGTCTTGCACATGGTTGTGAGGTTTGAATGGAAGAAAGATTCTGTGGACAGGTGTCTTTTATACAGATAACAAGTTGTAGGAGCACCTTCTTAAATTGACAGGACTAATCTGTGTACCACATGAGCACATAGCCAGTCTGTGGAAGCCAGAATTATTGTTGGTTGGTGGGGGATCAAATACTTATTTTACTCACTGAACTGCAACCCAATTTATAACATTTGTATCATGTTTTTTCTAGATGTTTGGTTGATATACTGTCTCTAGCATTTAAAATACACATATGATAAAAATTATAGACCCTTCATTTCTTTGTAAGTGGGCAAACTTACAAAAACTGCAGATGATCAAATAATTATTTTCCCCACTCTATGTCCTCCACTCCTGCAGGCTGTAGTATTCACTGGCCCAGTGCCACCATGATGTCAGTCCCTTTCAGCAATCAGAGTCCAAAACAGAATGATGCCAGTGTGGACACCTATGCTTTTAAGTTGCTGGGTGGAAGTGCACATCCTGTTCATAGGAAAGTATGTAATTATCCGGTGCCTCTTCAGCCTACCATACAGGAGACCTGCCCAGAGGTGCTGCTAGAAAAATGAGGGAAGATACCCCCAGGGGGGCTGATGACCACCAGCGTCACCACGCATCCGAAGAACAGACCAAAAAAAGCTATGGGTTGCTGGAGTTGCCCAAATCAGTCAAGCGGCAAGGTCCAGCACGTCTTCAGGGAAAAAAAACCCATAGGTAAGCAACCTGGCCAGGAACACAGGCACACCAGGACCTAGTCACCTGAGGGTTACACAACAACACCTGGACAGCTACTCCTGTATGGTCAGAAACACAAAACAACTGAGGATGAAGAAGAGGGAGGGGCATTTTAAGCTTTCTGATTTGTGTTTCCTGTTGAAGGTGTAGCCAATCATCTCTCAATTAGCTGTCTTGGACGACGATTTGGGAAATGAAACTTTTTTTTTAAATATTTGTTTTCCCTTACACAATTATTTGTCTACGAGTCAACTGACAGACAACTACATGCATTGCATTTACAAAAGTCAACAGAGTGGAATTTGACAAATATTTCCAACCTTGGTGAGTAGTCCAACCAATTTCTGTTTCAGAATTTAAAGCCTAACTCCATATTTAGTCTAAATAGCTTGTGGGAACCAAGCTGGTGCTGCTCAGACATTCAAAGGAGGCCTTGTGTTTTTTCAATGAATACAAGGCTTCCTCCAATTGACTGAGGTAGAAATTGTAAATTTTTTATCTGCCCACCTCTCCACTTCAATCAGAGGAAGCTTTATATTCATTCATATAAATACAAGGCTTCCCATGAATGGTTGAGCAGCGCTCAGACTGCCTCAATTTTGTTCCAGCAGCAGATGGGAAGTCAGAACACAGTGTTGCAGACTAGTGGTGCACCGAAATTAAAATTCTGGACCGAAACCGAAAATTCAGCATGCCCTTGGCCAAAAATCAGAACCAAAAAGAACATAAAAATATATTTTTTAAAGTATTATATTAGACTTTTTAAATATCATGAATTTAAATGAATATGAATTAAAAAAATACAATCCAGAAACATAAAAAAAAACAAAACTTTTATTGAGAGTAATACACAAAAATTGGACAGAAAATAAAATGAAATATATATAAAATTAAATTTTAGTCAATGGGACAGGATTTTGCAGTGTGCCACTATTGTATACTGTATGTAGTTGATGCAATATGCAAATTATGCAGCACTGGCAGCAAGAGCAGAAATACTTTGTTTGGGCCAGCTTGGCCAGAACAAATTATGTAATATGAAAGTAAACATGGAGATAGGCTTTGAGGTCTAAATGTAAAGATTACCTTCGTGTGATGTTGACTTTAAGCCCGCAGCTGTCTTTTCATGGAGAAATAAAACAGTGGACCTCTTTTTTTTTTATTCTTTGGCAATTGATCCCTAGAGGTAATAAAACAAATACAACATTAGTACCCAAAATAATGATATTTACTTAGTTTAAAATAATGCCTATTAAAAAGTCTACATAAAAAAGGACAACTTTTCAGGAAGGAATTCCAATCCAGACACAAGCAGTCTGACTACTTGCAAAAATGTTTTGATGTAATAATTACTATTGCTAACATCAAGTGTGGCTAAGCATAGCCCAATAATTGCAAGCAATGCAACAAATTCAAGCATCACTTATAACTACTTGGTGACGATGAGGCAGGTAGGGGTTAAACAGTTAGTAATTTTGAGCACTTTTGAGTGTCAGAGGCACTAATTATCACATACAGAGATTTTTCCAACAAATCAGAAAACATGTGCAAGCAGTTGATAAGCATCTCTTTTTCTACACAAAAGAATTAAACGAACTTTGGATTTTGCATGTTATCCATCCATATCAGCAGTGGTAAAGTCATCAAGGTTGACCCAAGCAGTATGGTGATGTGAGAAAGATGGTAAAACATTGACATATGGCCAGGCTAGTTTTTACTATTACCCAGACATCGTATCTTCAAAAGGTAGGTTTCATGCAGCACCACTGAAATTGGAACAACTCAGTGAATATATAATTTCCTATTACCACAGTTCACTTTGTATTTACATACAATAAAAATGGAAACCATGCACTCCACATAGGGGCCTCTACTGAGTGCATAATGGACTAAGAAGTTGCTGCATGCATGTTTATCATTGCTGTGAGATTTATAATGAAAATACTTCACCAGATAGAAACAATTAGAATCAACATATCCGTTGCAATTCCTTGGCAGATTTCATGTACAAACTTTCAGTCTTCGGTCACACAACAAATCTGACTTTAAATCATGTGACTTTTCTTGAAGTTGTGTGATTTCAAAGTCGGTATGTCAATGCAACTTCAGGTGCGACTTGCAAGACATCTGTGGAACATCATAGACAGATGTCTATGCAAGTCGCACCTGAACATGCAAAAAGTAGTGTATGTATTACTTTCAAAATTGGTGTGACTCTGAAAGTTGGAATGACACCGATATGACTACTTCAGTTATGCAGACTAGGGTGCAACTTGTTATGCAATTTGAAACGATCAAATCTCATGACAAGTCGCACCTGAATGACCGGGGTCTAATGTGATGTAATTGTTAAACTGTTTACACTATGAAATGTATTAAGCCTCATGTACACTGCAACTGCTAAACCGACGTTTAGGAGCAGTTCTGCGTATTTTTCTGAAGCTCCTCAACTCTTCTCTATGTTATCCTATGTGTGAGTGTGCTGGAGTTTCTTTGAAACTGCGTTCAGGACAAGAGTTTATTGGCATTTACAGTGTTACTAAACTCACAACAGTAAAATCAGTCTGTATATGCAATAGAGCATGTTTGTTATACTCACTATGGAACCTAAGGGGTTAATCCTCTGCATTGTATAAAAATGTGGTTTGATCCTGACTTCTCTGATCCCCCCCCTTCCAGTGTCTACCCTTTTATCTCCTGATAAGACTTATCGTGTGGAGACACTCTGCATATGCTCAGTTTGGTGTGTATTTTTCCTTGAAAGAGTGCATGTGATCAGCACAGGGACAATCAGTACTATCCAGACAGAGGTCAAGGGCCCTGCATCCTCCTAGAGCAAAATGAAAACTTCTCCTACAAGCTTTAAGCAGTGCTTGGCTGGACACAAGCACAAGAAGTCACAAGACTGCTCCAACTGCTGATGAGAAAGGGTATTTAGCAGTTTATATTTACTAACATAATTGCATTTCCATGTTCTCTGTATTGTGGGATACCAGATATAGTGAATGCAGGGTCTTGGGTTTAGTAACACTTTAAAACATCAAACACTCATAAACGCATGTTTAGCACTTCAGCATTTATTCATTTTAATGCCCATAATAAATTAAAATTCTGGCCAATGAAATAAACTCCCAAACACCACATACGGCTAAACTCACCTAAACTAGTTTGAAAAAAATTCAGCTTAGTGAGTTTTAAAGCAGATTTTCTCCTGTCAGAAGAAAAAGTATTTACAATAAACAAGTGCACATGAGGCCTTACTGAACAGTAAAATATAGTAACAAATGATTTAGAGGATGGCAACTAATGGAAATCCCAAACCTTGGCAGATATTCTATTCATGGGTCAAAGAAAGTTACACTGAGGACATTGTTGGGTCTATTGGTGCCTGGAACCCCATCCACTTCACCTCAACCTTGAGCCTGGGAGGTCCACTCCCTCAACTTGTCACTACCAGCATATCGCCAAGGGTGTCTATTAGATCTTGGGACCACTGGGTTTTACATTTCAGATGCGAGTTATATAAAATGTAGTTGAAAATGTATCAGGTATCAGCTTGTGTCCCCCAATACTGCAGTGTCCATAAAAGTCATATTAAAGGCAAAAATAAATAAGTGGTTTTGCACAAAGCAGCCCTGACCAACCTCTTCTTGGGTACCCCTCCGCTGGAGCTTCTGACCCCTCCTTCCTGTCAAGTGTCCCCCAGAGCAAGCAGCTTGCTATGGGGTTACCCAAGCAGGCTAGCTCCCGAGACACTGCTCTGCGTGTCCGTTCACATACAGAGCCTCAGCTCAGCCCCGCCCCCTCTCTCTCTCCTCGTTGGCTCACTCTCTGTGATTGACAGCAATGGGAGCCAATGCGGTCTCAGCCAACGAGGTGGTAGATTCCTCGAAGTGCCGATGTTCCCCACTGCCCATGCATGAGCTGTGCTGCTGCTGTCAATCAAATCCTGTGAGGAGGGAGTGCGGGATGGGGTAAAGTCTTGCTGTGTCTATAGACACACAATGCCTGGCTTGTGATCAAGCCTGCAGGAGTGCCCCCCCTAGAAAGCGTAAGGGAGAAGGAGCCGGGAGCACCTATGGGGGATCCCAGAAGAGGAGGTTTGGGGCTGCTCTGTGCAATATCATTGCACAGAACAGGTAATTATAACATGTTTATTATTTTATTAAAAATATTTATAACTTTACAAAACTCTGGAACATGCAGAGAGCTGGTAAAATTTAGATGCTAACAGGCACGCAATCTTTTAAAATCTACTGTACAATAAATAGCAAATTGGTATTTTTAGATTCTAAAGACAACTTTATGCATATGACCAACATTTTGAGAACATCTGTCTAAAAAGAATGGCATGACCTGGTAGATTCTGCAGTACAACATAGACCTTGTTTTTTTTTTTTTTGCTAACAATTCTTTCATTTTATCACTTGGTTTCTGGGGTCCAGATCTCTTATTTAAACCAGCGAACACCTGCATATGTTTTTCTGCTAACTGCCTTCTACTGAGAGTTTCAATGACCTTTCAGCTTTCCAGTATTCTGGAAGACTGAATCTAAGCCAATTTAATAGGTTTTCATTGCTCAGAAACACTTACTTATAATCTCATTAGATTAAAGGCCAAGTCTACCTAAATTGTTCATTTAGTTTTGGGTGAATGATAGTAGGTTGAATCAGCCATTGGCTTGTTATGTTTCTTAGACACTCTGGAGATAAGATTCCCGCACTTTATTTCCAGCTTCATCCCACAGCTAAGGCTATTTTAAAAGGTGACAAAGGATGTCAAGAACCCCAAACTGCATTCTCAATAACATAAATAAAGGATTGGAGATGCAGCATGAATACTTTACAGTAATGAGAGGTAAAGCTGGAAGCTCCAGGAGAGAAATATCTGACAGAGTTCTTGCTTTTAGCCTATAAGCAACTACCCAACTTCCAAATTAAAATACCACTTTTAAGAGAAAGTACTTTATTTTAGATTCTTATATTAGTACAGACATACTGCAGTACATAACAAAATGCATATAGCCATTCGTGTCAGTGTCTAATCCTACACAAGCATAGATGGAAATGTCCCTTTTCAGCTATATGGACACATGCACAAAATAAAGTAGAAGCTTAATACACTATTATAGTAGTGGAAGGAATCTAGTAGTTCTGTAAATGCTATAGATCTACCTGTCCCTGCAAGCTCTATCAGACCTTATACAACCCAAGGCAGGCAGAGCATGCTGGGATGTGCAGTTCCACAACTGGTAACTGATAACTACCTTATTAAAATTTTTGGGGTTTGTGGGAAGAAACCTGAACAGCTAGAGAAAATTAATGCAAACACAATAGGAACAACCCATGCAGAGACAGCGTTCCCATCTGTTTAAATACAAAGGTTACAGAAATAATAAATCATGCTTTCAACGCAAGCTTAAAAATCACTCGAATAATCTGGTATTTAAAAAATCCCAACAGGTTGACATACAAAAAAATATATACATGAATCAGTGCTTTAAACACCTATAAAATAAACCTGTTCTCAACAATCCACCTGTATATAAGTCCACAATGACCATCTCTTTATAAAATGATCACTATATAAAAACTTTAGTTCTTTGTATCATTCAAAATATTGACCCATCATAACAGCAATGATTCATGAAGCTGCAAGGATTTTTGAAATGTTGCAAAGCACAATGTCCATTTATCTGCGATCTTCACTACACAATTACCTTCATGGATTTGTGCTTTATCTCTGAAGTATCTTAACACTGAACAGTGAGAGGTATACTCTCCATTATTCTTCATCCCCACACTCACCGCTGACCCTATTATATGTGAACATGCAGGAAGAGATCTACCTTATTTTAAATAATGTTCTCTTTCAGGCTCCCTGGAGAACTCTGCAGATGCTCTAGTTTCTAGGCATGCACAGAAGAGAGAAAACTCTTATTCCGATGCACAGATGAAATATGGAAAGAATTGCTTCAGATGACTTCATTGAAAATTGAGGGAGACAAAGGCAAGTATTAAGAATTATCAAACATTTATAACTTTCTAACCTTGCCACGTCATCAAATACAACAAGCATCTGCAATATTCATATTGGTTATCTACATGAAAGAGATTTGAGGGCTCTTAATATTTATATAGCAGCATATAGCTGTTTTCACAGCAATGTAAAAATAGCCTAGGGGGCTGGAGCAGAATTAAAACCCACAGAACATAAGAAGAATGCTCAGCTAAGATTAGTACAAGAGGGGACTTACACACAATGGTGGCATTTTCTTTGTACATTGTGATTACAGTGTTTGTTACAATACAATATAATGTAATACAATTTATACTAAAAGAAATGCTGAACAAAATAAATGCAAATCCTTACACAAATACCAACAGACATTAGAATGCAATCAGCCAATGATCACAAGTCTTTGGGGGAGCAGCAGATGGTCCTGAACAAGCGTTTCTGAAGTATAAAGTGAGTATATAGTACCCCTCAAACACAATCATTTGCACCAAGATATGCCAGCCTTGTCTGCATCTGCCCCCCCTCATCCAATACTGTAAACAGGAACATTCAAATGCATGTTCAATCAATCACTCATGTCTATAGGCAATTTTACTCAATGTGCCAAAGAGCAAAGTGAACATCATTGCGAGTAGTTAATATGCCTTTCCAAACCTCCCTATAGCAGGCAGGCTTTAAAAAAAAAAAATATAAAAAAATCAGCGCAAATCTAGGTAGAATAGCTAAAATGCAAATTGCAAGCTGAACACTGAAAGGTAAAATTCGCAATACCTAAGAATTACACATAAATATCAGAAAAAGTGCAGTACAATAAAATAAACAAATGATACATGCAAAATTAGACTATTAAGTTCATAAAGTCCTTATATGGAAATGGACCCCAATAGAGATGTCATTTGAAAATGGACCACCAACACGGATGAACAGAAATGGTGTATCATACATGTGACAAAATGCGCATTCTGGTGAAGATACTTGTTCCTATCACCAAAAAACAATCTTGGCTGCTCACCTTATAAATATGACCCTGAACTAATAGGATGGTCATATAGCGCTTTTCCCATTAAGGGTAAAAACTCCCAAGGGCGCCAACACTGATCTGGACAAGTGGTTCCTCAGATGTATCAAAGTGTATAGAATAAAATCAAAAACAAGAAAAATAGTGCTTTCTGCTGCAAATATATGTCTCCTGTGGTATAAAATCACAACTCACAATTGTGACACTTACATCTAAGTGCAAAAAAACAGCGTTTTAAAAGACAGACCACCGCAGTATCAAGGGAACAAGATGGCCACGGGTGACGTCAGCGAACGTGACTCCTCCCGTAAGAGTTACACCCTGGACGGGACTTTGTCAGCGGGGATAACCGGTGGTCTGTCTTTAAGAGTTGTTTTTTGCACTGGGACATAAGGTCCAGAATTGTGAGTGTGATTTTATACCACAGTAAAGCTACACTATATTGCCAAAAGTATTGGGATGCCTGACTTTACACGCACATGAACTTTAATGGCATCCCAGTCTTAGTCCGTAGGGTTCAATATTGAGTTGGCCCACCCTATTTGAAGCTATAACAGCTTCAACTCTTCTGGGAAGGCTGTCCACAAGGTTTAGGAGTGTGTCTATGGGAATGTTTGACCATTCTTCCAGAAGGGCATTTGTGAGGTCAGGTACTGATGTGAGATGAGAAGGCCTGGCTCACAGTCTCCGCTCTACTTCATCCCAAAGGTGTTCTATCGGGTTCAGGTCAGGACTCTGTGCAGGCCAGTCAAGTTCCTACACCCCAAACTTGCACATCCATGTCTTTATCGACCTTGCTTTGTGCACTGGTGCCCAGTCATGTTGGCACAGGAAGGGGCCATCCCTAAACTGTTTCCACAAAGTTGGGAGCATGAAATTGTCCAAAATGTCTGGGCATGCTGACACCTTAAGAGTTCCCTTCACTGGAACTAAAGAGCCAAGCCCAACCCCTGAAAAACAACTCCACACTGTAATCCCCCCTCC